GGGCTAAAAATCTTGTGTCAACACCGGCCACAGGAGAGGGACGGGCTCGCCAGTGGCCGGCGAAGCTTGGGCTTGCCATTCTGGTGAGGCTGAGGCCTCGTCGGCCATTGGCGGCCTTGAGCCTAGTCGATCTAGCGAGACTCGAGCTCGCCGGATCAGCAATGCTTGAGGCTCGAGGCTCGAGGCTCGCCAGAATCGGTGAGCTTGAGCTCGCTTGAGGCCGGCGAGGTCGAGTCTCGCTAGATCGGCGAGGCTTGAGGCTCACCAGTGGCCGGCCATCGGTGGGGGAAGAAGAAAAAAGAAAAAGAAAAAAGGAAAAAGGAAAAGAAAAAAAGGAAAAGAAAAATAATATAAAGAATATAAAAATTAAAAAAATCAGAAAATTAAAAAACATTGAAAATTTCACTTAAGCTTATTGGGTAACCCATTTATGACCCATTTAATACCCATTAAGTTAATAAGCAACCCATTAATGACCCAGTCTATTTTTAAAGCTAAACCCAACCCACTTATAACCCACAATAATTAGATATGTTTTAATACATGGATTCTTGACCCATTTACCACTTCTAGTCACGGGTCAGCTCAGCGACGGCAGGGGCTCGTTGGTGAAGAGGTGGCTCGGGGGATTGGCTGACGAGTAGCAGCCATGTTGTCACTGCATGGGGCAGCAGGCCGAGACAGTAGCAACTCCGGCAGGAAGCGCGACAACAGCAGTAGATGGCATCGCGGGAGAAGTAAGGCAGCGTCGAAGGTCGCAGAAGCTCACGTCGCAGGAATATCAGCGATTGTCAAGGTTCGGCTCAGCAGGTTAGCGAAGGAATTAGCGGCACTAGCTCACGGCCACAGGTTTGGCCATGAGGGAGGTGACGACAACGGTTGGAGGTACAGGGGTGGTGGCGGAGAGGGGCTCGGCTGCAAGAGGCTTCGCATGTCTTTGTCTCTCCCTTTTCTCTCAATGCCTCATGTGTTTCGCTCGTGTGTATTATGAATTGTGATTGCAACCTCTGGATTAAGAGGCATAAGTATGTATATATAGCATTAACCTAGATTTATCTTACTATCACGAGCTTAAATTGAGCCCATTTTTCAATGTAATGGGCTCTAATAACCAAAGGCCAACTTGTAATATGGGTTGAATTATAATCAAATTAAGCTCAAATTAGGCCCGTCTTGCCTTCCAATTTTCGGCCACAGTGTCTTTCAGCTTGACCGAATTTTGCTTGGTGTGCGAGCCAAGTCTATGCAACTGATTTGAGTTTGCCACCACCGGTCCCATGCAATTATACTATAATTGCAGATTTGCAATTATACTTATATCAGTTGGCAATCGTGAGTTTGCCTGAAGTTCTTTATGGAATAAACTGATATAAGTAGTAGGAGCAGCAGAAACAATTTCAGTATGGTTTGCCTTGTATTTTGCCTTTCTTTGTACCCTTTTTACCTCCAAATTTGCAGGTTTTCCATATAACTTTTAGCAGGTAGCCTTAATATGATATGACCTATGACAATGCTCACACTTCACAACCTCCTTAGAGGTATCATCATATCGAGAGGATGAATCAGATTTGGCAATAGTACCAACACTGGTTTGTAGAGCAAATCGATCCACAATTGACAGATGGAGCATTGCTGTCCTATGGCTTTCTTTAGAGTGAACTAGGGCGTAGCATTGTTCCAGAGTAGGGAATGGAGACCGACTAAGGACTTGAATATGTATCTGATCATATTCAACATTCAATTCTGCCAAAAAATCATAAACTCTGATCTTATCCACTTGCCTCTTATATGCAGATTGGTTGGGTGGTAATTGGCATAATGATATAACTCTTGCCACAAACTCCGAAGCTCAACATAATATTGAGATATAGTCATTTTCTTATGAGTGGTGTCATGAACCTATTTTCTAAGTTCATACACCTGTGCATTGACCATAAGTATCCCTTACAGTCGACCAAATCTGTGCCACAGTATCAAGAAACAAATATCCTTTTGCAATATGTGGCTGCATTGAGTTAAGCAAAAAAGGCATTACCAAAGAGTCATTGAGATCCATTTGTCCTGAGTATTACCTGATGTATCCTGCTTCACAGAAGTGCCATTGATAAGTCCCGTAAGCCCAGGGCATGCAATAATCAAGAATGCAGATCAAGACCATATCAAATAATTCGTCCCATCAAGCTTCACAGAGATTGTAGCAAAACTAAGATAATATGTATGGCCGTTGCCTGTTGGTGTCGAGTGCACAATTGGATCTTTAGACAATGTGTCGTAGAAATCTACTCGAAAAGTACTAGAGGAGCAATCAAACAGCCAAAACTTGCCAAAAAAAAGGCCAAAAGAAAAAGTTTGAAATCCTTCTTTAGTAGGCTAAATTTGTCCTCCAAAGATCAGCCAAATCATATCAAGGGAAGGCAAAATTCAATTTTTCCAAGGAAAATGGTGGTCCACAAAATGCAGTGCTTTGGTCTTCGGAGACGAGATAATTGTAGGCTAGCAGCAAGGTAGAAACAATCTCAAACAATATCCCAAAAATCGCAAAGGAGGTCGAACCACCTATCGGAGACTGCAAAGAAACTTTAGTTTATCTTATAGAGGTGAGATTTGGGGTAGCCATTAGATTCAAAGAATTACCTCATTAGTGTTGCCCTACACTGTGAAAGAAAGCAAAATAAGAAGGTGTGAAGGAATTGCGGTGAGAAAGTGTGAAGATGAGGAGAGAGAGAGAGAGAGAGAGAGAGAGAGAGAGAGAGAGAGAGAGAGAGAGAGAGAGAGAGAAGATGGACTGTGCAGAGATGAGATTGGTTAGGGTTAAGGTTTCAGTTTAGCCCTTGCTTTGATATCACGTTGAAAGAAAAACTGAACTAAATGCTTGGTTAGATCGATGTGACTCCAATCTATCTATTTATAATAAAATCAAGATGTCAAATTACAATATCATCCTTATTACCGCAATACATAAAATAATAAAGAAAATAGACAAATATGCTCCCATCAGCCATATATATTCTCCACACCATCCTTAGGCCCTAAATTCTATTAGGATGGTTGTAGCTTCAAAAGTAAATTTTCTAAAAGCACTGCTATAGGTAAGTTGAACATGATTCGATTAATTATATGCAAATTGTTCCTCCTTATCTTGATGAACATTTATTTTGACTAAATCATGCATTGCATGCATATTTTGACCTTTATTAACGGCAAAAGGACATTACAAGTGCCATTAGTTGTGTACGGATGACACTTTGGTGCCATAACTTTTTTTTGGAACACTTTGGTGCCAAGTCGGAGGAAAAGAGATCACTTAAGTGCCAATTTGGCCGGAAATTCGACGTGGCATTTTTTATTAATTTTTGACGCCGACGTGGCTCGCCGGAGGATGAGTCAGCGTGTATAGTCAGCATTTTTTATTTTAAATAATTTTTTTCTAGCGTGTATAGTCAGCATTTTTTATTTTAAATAATTTTTTTCCTTTTTTTTTCCTCTTCTTTCATTTTTCCTTTCTTTTCTTTTTTTTTTCTTTTCTCCCCTCATCGGCCTGTTGCCGGTGGCCGGCCCGGCCACCAGCGAAGCCCGTGAAGGGCTGGGCGAGGGTGGCCTTGCCCATGGCCAGCGAGGGGCGGCCTCGCTAGATCTGGGCGAGGCGACCCTCGCCGGCGACAGGCGAGGCCGCCCCTCGCCAGCCCAAGCGAGGGCTGCCCTCGCCTGAGTCGGGCGACGGAAGCCCTCGCCCAGCCGGCGGTGGTAGGGCGGCAGCAAGCCCTCGCCTGCTGCTTCCCCTCTCCCAGCCAGGGGCCGGCGAGGCTTGTCCTCGCCCGATCTGGCGAGGGTTGCCCTCGCCGGCGTCGAGCGAGGGAAGCCCACGCCTGGGCGGGCGAGGGTTGCCCACGCCCGACTCAGGCGAGGGCGACCCTCGCCCGACGCTGGCGAGGGCAGTCTCGCCCAACGCCGACAAGGGTTGCCCTCGCCGGAGAAGAAAGAAAGAAAAAATCAAAAAAAGGAAAAAGACGAAAATACCCTTGGGTTAAAGTGTTGTGAGGTAAATGTATCACAATGAGTATAATTTGGGGCTTTTAGTATCACAAAAAAAGGTTCAGAGTAAACTTGTCACAAATGGTATAGTTTGGGGTTTTTCGTGTAAAAAAAAAAGTTCAGGGTAAATTATTACAAGTGTCATAATTTGAGATTTTTGGTGGTATTTTCCTTTTATTTATTTATTATTTTTTAAATATAATTTAAATTTTATTTTTCTAAAAAAGTACATGCCAGCGGACTAAACGGCGTCGTTTTTTATTTTTAATGCTGACTGGACCTCTCCGGCGAGCCATAGATCTCTCCAGCAAGCCATGTCAGCGCCACGTAGGATTTCCGGCAAGCCATGTCAGCATTGGCACTAAAGTGATCGTTTTTCAAAAAAGTTTGCACCAAAATGTTCCGAAAAAAAATTATGGCACCAAAGTGTCCGCCGTACACAACTTATGGCACTTCTGGTGTCCTTTTGCCCTTTATTAACACTCTGAAACTGCTGAAACTCACAATGCTTAACTGTTGGTAGGTAAATTTTTCACGTATAGTTTTTTCCATAATTGTTTGAAATCTAAAATTAAGAAATGTAAAAACACAACATACAACTCTAATTCCATTAATTTTTGGTGCCATACCCTTTTAAAAATAGTCCATCACAAATAAAAAGTGCATGTCCTCGCTGCAATGTCACACAATTCTTCATAATTACCATAAAAAGGGTTGGGATATATGTCAGGATAATTACCCGACTCAATCTCCACCCTTCCTACTTGATAAGGAGAAGGTGGAGAATTCGATTCCTTACCTTCTTATGAGGGGCTAGGGATAGGGATATTTAATTTCAGATGTGGGTTTCGACTCCCACGCTCTGCAAAGAGGCAGGATAAAAATCTAAGTGTAAGTTGAGAGTTAGAGTAAGACAAAAAAAAAGTCTCATAAAGGCTACTTAATATTTTACAATGCACCGACGATCGTATTGGTATAAACTCTTCTGCATTAATATTTTGTCTCACATTTTCTTTTGACAAGTCCAAGTTTTCTTGGCTTGAATTCTTCATAGAGACACAATTTGTTTTATATTTTTCCAAGTCACTCTTAAGGATGGAAGAAGTTAGCATTAATCCCTCTATCAACTAATACCCAGATCGCTGCAACCACCATCACCACCCACAACACCACGCCGAGCCACCCTAGCCCAACGTTGAGCCACCACATGCCGCTCCTGCGACGAGGCCGCTTGATCGCCAGCCACATGAAGCACGGTAACACAAACGTTAGTGTGGAAGTCATCCCCCCAATCAGCGGGGCCAGGCTCCCTAGAAAGGGGAGAGCCACCGCCACGAAGAAGGCTAGGCAGCCAAAGAAGACCCTCAGGGATGTGCGGGCCCGCCGAGAGCAGCGGCGGTCCCTAATGCTGGTGTACCGGAGCTCCAGGTTGTCGAAGACCGGCATGGCGTAGATCTGGAATGTGCTGAGGCAGTTGGCCGCTACGAGTAGGTAGATTAGGCCCATCACAAGCTTCGGTGTGTCTTGGCCATGGAATTGGGGGAAAGCAATGTAGAGTCCACCATTTGGTATTTTGCTTCCATAGGCCCAAAACCCACCAATGGCTAAAGAGTATAAGCAGAGAGCGATAAGTGAGTAGGAGATGATCACAGCTCTCCACATAAGCCTTTTGGAAAGGCATTTTGGGGTTGAAGGCAATGTTCCCTACATCACAAAATGGGCACACAAGAAAGTCATCATTGCTGAATCAAGTGTAGGATTTGAAACCCCAATCGCGATGCGCCCGAATTCACCCGGTTCTAGGGGAGAGAGCTCTCTAGAGATTCCCAAGTTTTATCCATTGCAAATGATGCAAGCAAGGACAGTATGGATTCCTCACATCGTCATTGAAAAGCAAAGAAGTTAGACAAAAGAAAAGTTAAGCCATTTTACCTGAATTTCAAGCACGAGGTTGTGACCTCTAAAAGACAAGGCAATGATCCCGATAGCATTCAAAACCCCACCGATTCTCGCCGCGTCCGACTTTGCCTCAATCAACGGCTTGTAGGAGATGCCCGCGGGCCTACCCTTGGCAACAGACAGAATCCAAATCAGGGCGCCGTAACTGACGGCTGTGATGGCTCCGAATAGTGAGACCTTAGCTATGGAATGCAGATTCGGCCGTTGTGCTATGACGATGGCTATGAATGTGAATAGCAAGAACCACTCCACGCCGTTGGGTGGCTTGGCGCTACACGCAGTGCCATCTCCGCCGCACATGGTCTTGAAGAGAAGCTCCATGGCCCGACCTCCGGTGATGATCTCCATCACACACGTGCCCCCCGATAGGTACATCACGGGGAATATGGCAAGCAATTTTCCCAACCTGGGTCCTGAAATTTTATTTTGAAGATACCGTTAAATTTAATTATTGATACATTAATTTGCCTAATTATGAATAATAATCGTGAAAGAAATACAAGCAAATGGACCCAAAAATTAAAACAACGTCAGAGTGGAATTACGCTAACGATTCTTAAACTCCCACGATAAAATTGAACTTTTGGAAATACTAATCTTTCTTCTTTTTTTATTGTAATTAATTAACGTGATAAAAAATATTTTAAATATATAGCGGCATACCGAAGGCAGCAATAGAGAGGTGGAGGAATCTGCTGTAGCGGGTTCCAGGAACCAATTCATGGAGCTGCACAAGAGCCCATATGGTGTAGAGTTGCCACAGAAATCCTAAGGATAGAATTAGGATTCCCCATACCCTTCAAAATTAAGAAGAAAATAATAATGAGACAATAATTAATAATAACCAATTCGATAGATTAACAAGTATAGGTTAATGAAAAGTTACATAGGCATTTTTACTCAAGTTCATTAAACGGAAAGAATAGCAGTTTCGCTTTTAAAGCACGATCATCTTATATACGGGATATTCTCCACTACCTCCTGGCACCTCTCGTGGAATATGGGAAAAAATGGGTCATAGAATAGGCAAAGTAATAGATCCAAAAATGTCTTTCTGGACCTTTAATTAAAAATAATAAAAAAGACCCAAAAAGTCAAAATTTTCTTTGAAGTGGCCGTTTTTCACGGGGAAAAATCACTATATCTTGTTGTCTGAACTTAAAATAATGAAAATGGATATGGGTAGTCTCCGAACTTTTTAAGAAATTGATGAAAATGGTTCTATAGTTGTAGAATTCGATTGTTAATAGTATAGTGAAAATATGGCCATTGAGGTTTTAATATTATAAAGGAGAGGAGAATCAAATCAAGTATGATTCTAGCAGCACACAATGTCGACAACACAAAGACATGCAATCCAGATTTTTGGTGAGTGGTACCGACGAACTTAGTGGAGTACATGGATGTGTTGGCCAATAGGAAAGAGCGTAATATCCGGATGTCGTAATACTCGCATATCGACCTTTTGTTATCACACGATCCCATTACTGAAGACACTCATTTTTCTTCATAGATAAAATTAGGTGCACAGTCGGTGCATGGAGAAAGATCTTACGAGTGAACTTGAGGATAGTACGGCCAATTAAAAAAGGGGGGGGGGGGGGGGGGGGGTAAAAATGCTAAAAATTGAAAATGGGTGCATCTTTTGCGGATGAGAATGTGAATTTCGAAAAATGCTATTTCTTAAAAATAATATTAGGTTCATTGTCTATGCAAAGAGAAAGATTGTCCGTGAAGTCGAGGATTATTCCGCCTCTAATTTCCGCCTTATTCATTAATAGCTGGATCTTTTGCCGGTGAGAACGTGAAGAGGAAAAGCATCGGAATCGAAGAGATATTCTTCGCGAGATCATCAATTTAATAATTAAAACAAAATTCTAATTCATATAGTTAAAATATCCATATAATTCAAGAACACTTTAATTGGAGAGAATTCACACCTTCGAAGAAACTCACCCAAAGTTTTTGGTCATCTTATGTTGATTTATCAAAGCCCTAGGTTTCCAACCCGTCGTAGACGCGAGGACCACGTGGAGTGCAAGTCAGTGAATAAACTTTTATCAAACCCCTAAAGAAATCGAAGATTCTTCTTTTGTCATTTTCTTTAAACTTAAGCAAAATCAAGAAATTAGGGAAACACATCATGTGACATGGCGCTGTTTCCAAGAAGTCTGGGCGGCCGAATTCTCTAACAAGCAACAGACCAAATCTCATGCAGCCCGATGAAGATTTCAAGAGATGACTGAATCCCAGTCACATATGAATTACGAAAATATAAGTAATTTAATGACGACGAGATAACTTTGGCTTACCAACCAAGAGAAGCGAAGGCAACAGGAAGCATGAGCGCCTGGATCCCCATCCCGGAGCACAGGACATGGAACACCGCGGACACGGTGCTGCCGCCCCTCGACTCCGTGATCGGGAGCCACCCGTCCTGAGGGTTCTCCTCGTGAGGGCCACCGGCGGCCATCGCCTCGGCAGTGGCCTCGTCCACGACGGAGCCGGTCGTGATGGTGACGGCGACGTGCGCCGCCTTGGTCGGGACGGCATTGTCATCAAGAGTCAAGCCGTAAAACCCATCATCGACTATCTCACCTACTTCCCCCATGACGGATTCGATGTCTCCGGCCCGAGATCCCGAACTTCAGTTATAGGGGGCGAGAGAAGATGGGTTGGTGGGAGAAGGTCAGTGGTGAGCTGTGACCATGATGCAATGCATCGTCACGAGAAGAAGATGGTGATGTTTACAGCGCAACTGTGAGCAGAGAATAGAAGAAGATTTGAGGACGACACAGCTTACCCAGTAGTTGAGAGCACTGGCCTTGATGCCTACTTTATACTTCCGCGTGTTCGACATTATATATATTTCGAATTGTTAATTTTTACGAAATTATTGATTTTTTCATTTTCTTGGTTAGGTTTCTCGAGGCAATTTTCTCTGTGGGGGAGGGGGGAAGGTTAACCAATAGTCAAGAGTCAACTTAATCTAAACGGCGTGATGCACGATGTTTTCTCTGGAATTTTGGGTTCATGTTTTTGCCTAGGAAGGTGCATATTGAAATATACATGCACCTAAAATTCAAATTTTCTTTTGCGGTATAATTTGACCCAGATTCATTTTACCCCGTAAAAGTCATTTACATATAAGCACAATAGTGAAATATGTGACCGGGCGAATATTATGCAATCTAAATATTTCGTCGATTCGACGCATCTTATTGTACCGAATTTCATAAAGATCGATCTTTCCGTTCGGACGCAATTATTGAGAATATCTCCGAATAATTATTTTGACGGGTCTTTTTTTTCCTTAAGAAATCGTACTATTTAGAGGATATTCAGTATATTATGTTACGTCTACGATCGTAAGCAGTCTCTAGAACTCTTATTTAATAATGTATTTTTTCAAAAAATGGTTACTTATTTCTTACATAAAATGACCAAACTAGTGCGGTATATCAACTTTCTCTCTCAATAGAAATGGATTCCTTAGAAAAAATTCGGGACCTCCAAAAAGAGTGGAATAAATTCCACCTAACGCCTAGAACGGACGGGTCACGGACAACGGGATGACGTCAGCGTCGTGACGTCACTGGGGGGACGCTGCCGTCCAGGTCCACCCTGGTTAAGCTTCGAGATGAAGACAAAGGGAATTACATCATATTCTAATTCATCTTAGTCCAGCGAAATTAAGCCTTTTTTTATTTCCAACTTGTATGGAAAGTTGACTGTATGTATAATCATAAGAAATCGATGTGATGGCCTCCCCAAATAAGGAATTTTTTATAAATTTTTTTATTGCCGAAATATATTCTTACCAAATATGCTACGTATATATATGGTAGGACGGCCGCATCAGCATCAATTGATAAAGAAAAATCTGCACCTCCTGTTGGCAATTATAATTTGGAATCGTTATTAATGTCTGATTTTTCGTGGTGGCACTAATGATTGTGGACCGTTCAATTTATTCTCAAGCTTAGTGATCTGATTCTCGGGTCTCGCTAGGAACTTTTGGCGATTTTCGAAACTTAAGGGACTATTTGGTACGGTTCTTTTCCCTCTACTTATTCGCTTAATTTAATTTTCGGATTCGACTTTTTAGTACGGTATCTCAGAATTAGATTTGATAACCGCTATTAGAGGTTAGTCAATCATTACCCATGCGGGTTGCCATTGTCTCAATTCCCCATTCTTCTAATTCAACATAATGAGTGTCCCGTCATTTTTCAAAAAAATGAGTGTTTATATCTCTAAAAATAATTAATCAATAAAATATTTTTTCACCATTGATAACAATTTATGTCTAAAAAGTTTCATTGATGATAATAATATTTTTTTTATTCATTTCTATAAGTGATGGAAGCGATTATTTTTTTCGAAATTTTTTCTAAATAGTTGATTAATATCACTTGTTTGCAATATCACAAACACATGGTTTTCTCTAATTTACGTCTCTTTAAGTTTTTGTTCGTTGCAAATCCTAATTGACTCGAATTTCCTTATTATGCTTTTACTAGTACTCTTAGCATAATTAATCCTTGAAAAGATATTAAATAGAAATTTCGTCTTTAAAATTAACCAAAATAAAGAAATAAAAAAAAAACATAGAGAGAGAACCTAATTGGCTCGAATTCCCTTATGATGCTTTTACTAACAAGTATTCATTGACTCATATGGAAACATTTGGCAGACCCGTACAAGAGGGAAAATGACACAAACAGTCCCTGAACTTTGGCCCAATATGCAATGTGGTCCATGAACTTTTAATTTATTCAATATCATCCTTGAACTTTTGGTACATGTTCAATTCAGTCCTTGAACTATATGAAAATGTTCAATGCAGTCCTTTCCATTAATTCAAGTTTAGGGACTACATTGAATATTTTCATATAGTTCAGAGACTGAATTGAACATGTACTAAAAGTTCAGGATTGACATTGAACAAATTAAAAGTATAGGGACCACATTAAACATTAGCCTAAAGTTCGAGGACTACATTGAATAAATTAAAAGTTTAGGGACTAAATTGCTCATTAGGCCAAAGTTCAGGGACTGTTTGTGTCATTATTCTCGTACAAGACGTCTAACTAGTCGAAAGACTCGTCCAGTTCCGATTGGTCTTTGTTTCTTCTAATATAAGAAGAAAACGAGCAAATAGAGTAAGCGATCGACGTTGCTTTCCAATTTCTACCTTCATTTTGGTCTCTTCTTAAAAAAATCACTGTTATTTTTCAAAAGCTCCGGATGTAAATCAAAGCTTGACACTATTTCCGTAAGGGTTAATACCACAAAAAATCTCAAACTGATGCATTTATGATAAATTTACCAAAAACTAATTTTTTGACTGCCAGAAACCCCAAATTGATACATTTGTGACAAATCTACCTTCTACTAGTTTTCGTTAAATTGGATTAATACTAAAAAAAATTACAAACTGGTACACATGTGATAAATGGAGGGTAAAACATAAATCTGGTACAACTGTCAACTACCGCTTGTCATTTAACCAAGTAATTTAACAATAAAATTTAACAAAAATAAAATGAGAGTAAATTTATTACATGTATACCAATTTAGGATTTTTGATAGTAAAAAAATTAATTTGAGATAAATTTATCATAAATGTATTAATTTTGGATTTTTTGTGATATTAACCCTTCCCGTAATGATCCGATCCATTTGAGTAGTGACCATTTGAGAGAGAGTTTGGACTCATGCATCACTCAATAAGTCATCTTCCAACCGACGTGGGACTCTCCAATGTCTCAATTTCGATACTCAATATACAACCATAAAACTGCTTTTGGACTTGTACGTGTATGAAGCATGTCAAGCCTTGAATTGGCTTTCTCCGAATGAAAGGAACGGCGACTTTGTCTCATCCGAGATTATTCCCAAAATTATGTAGTTACTTTTTCATGGGAATCTATTTGTAACATAGGGACAAAAGTTATGCGGTTCAGCTAGGGAATAATATATTACGTCATATTCTTTAAAAGTACATAAAAGTTATTGGCATTACCATAATAGATTTGAAATGGGTCGTCCGTATTGGTATCGAATCTATTCCCAAGTTCCCATCTTTCCATTTTTTTTAACCATTTTTCAGGTAAAGTCTCTCAATTATATTTGAAAATGAATTTGTTCTCTATAAAGATAAAGCAAGCTTTCTCTTCCTCCTCCCTTTGAAAATGAAGAAATCGCTGGTTGGTTAGTCCAACAGAAAAAGACAGGAGACTTTTTGGCCATTGTTGGAGAGTTGCCAAACTTGGACCGACTTCCATAAAGGCAGGCTTCCTATAGAGACCCGTCACTGCACATTTTTTTTTTATATGTTTCTTTCCAGTGTCCGCTGCATGCTATCGGTACCGTCAGAACAACACTCGAAAAATCGTCGGCTCGCTTGAGGCGCGTGAGCCTTACTCGCAGTAATCCAGGGCGGCGCGTGAGAGCAAGTGTAGTGGTGGATGGCGGCCAAAATTTTAAATCTGGCTTTTTTGAGGGCAATAAGTCCGGTGGCAGTGTCGATCTATAGAAATGAGTAATGGAGAGAGTCGGAACAGCAGACAAGATCGGCGGGATCGGCAGAAACTGGACACCGACGTGGCTGTTGTAGCGCTGCTACGACTACCATCCTTTTATAAGGACTCAATGGCCGCTTCCTCGTACAATAAAGACTGGTTTCCCCTCTCGAACTTAAGAATCTTACTGGCATCAACGAAATTGGTCAACAAAGGCCTACTTTATGTTTGTTTTCCTCTGTGCGACGCATGACTACTCTATCCGGTGACTTATCAAACATAAAATGGAGAACCATGTTAGGTCTACTTGAATGCATCATTTGTAGCAGGAGAAGAATGAATTTAATGGTGGAGTTCGGTCGTTTTTTTATCTACCTATTCTTATCGAACTTTTTTTTTTTGGAAAGAATGTTAGCTTATTGGCATTCTCTTCTCTTTTCTAGATTCATTCCCTACTAATGGAATTTCACCTAGGTACCAAGAAGTAAAGCGACATCATAGCCAGGTGTCGTACAAACCAAAGTAATCCAGAATAAGCGGCTTCGCCACTTGATGTCGTCCTTGATAACTAAGGGAGATCAGTCCTTTGATGGGCAAAAAGCCTTTTCCGAGTAGCAACTTATTTTTAAAGAATTACAGTTCCGGAAAAGTATAATGTAGGAGGCTGCTAAAAAAATTCACACAATTCTTGTATAGAAACAATAGCAGCAGTCCTTACCAAAAAAAAACAATAGCAGCAGCAGTACGGCTTTTAGAGGATCGTCCTCTCTCTTCTTTTACTTGTTGGAGTCCTCTTGTCCCCCATCCTCTTTTCTTTCCTCGGTTAACAACCGCTTCTTTCTTTTGATTTTGATATCTTTTTCCGCATCTTTATGGATTTCCTCCCAACCATTACATTGTGTGTCATTTTTGGGTATAAGCCCTCAAAAGTAGCCCCGAAACAACTCTCATTTTTGGATGTAGGTTATTTATGGGATCTTCCATGAGTAATAAGTCATATTCTCTCTATTCTTTCTCATCCCTAGGTAGGTCAGTGGCTGAGAGATTCTATGTTGAAGAAATAACTCTGATTGAACAAGGCAAAAGCCTATCTTTTCTCAAGCTTTTTCTCAAGTTTCGCAATAGTGTGAGATTTTGGTAGAACCATTACCAACTACTTTAAAAGCTTAAATTGTTAGATGAATGCGTTGTTTAATATTTAATTATTCTAACACTCATCTTCACGCATAGTCTGGTCTTTGTTATTAGTACTAAGCGTGGACATATTTAATTGATGAGGTAAATA